TGCAATGCTGCATGGCTCTCCCTGAGTTGCTGCCTCCTTTCACCTCGTTGTAGATCGGGACCATTTCCAACTGGGCTCCCTGTCCCATCTGCTCAACGCTAAGGCTGTGGGCTACCAGGAGCTGCCTGACTGGCCGGATGAGGCCCCTGACCCCTCTGTGAGGAATGTGGAGGTGTGTGGAGCACCTTGGGTGCATGGGGGAGGAGGGGCCAAGGTGGGGACACTGACTCAAGGTCTTGGAAGAGCCCCAGAAAGGTGCCTAGGTACTGCTCACCTACCCTGTTCCCTCTCTAGCACTCATACATCTGCTTGGGGATGGGGGAACAAGGGTGGCTGCTTGGATCCCCCAGTCATGGGTGATGGCCCTGCTCCATCAAGCCTGTGCCAACAGGTTCCTGAGTGGACCAAGTGCACCAGCCGGGAGAAGAGGAAGGAGAAGGTGGAGAAGCCTTTCTACTCTGACTCAGAGGGCGAGTCAGGGCCCACGGAGTCAGCAGACAGTGGTGAGGACTTGAGGGCATGAGATATTGGGCAGTGGTCACTGTGGCCATCAGGCAGGTGCCACAATGGTGGGGCACTGGACAGGGGACATGACAGTGGGGACACCCCATCATGGGACGGACATGGCAGGAAATGTGGAGGTACATGGTGGTGGGCAGTGGGACTATGCAGGAATGCAGTGGAGAGGCAGCAGCAGGTGTGGAGATGCAATGGGAGGATGGAGGATGTAGTGGGATGAAGTGGGAGATGGGGGAATGTGAGGGGACACAGCAACAGGGCTGAGCTGTGCTCCCACAGAGCCCGAGTCCGGCAGTGAAGAGAACAGCAGCAGCAGCAGCTCTGGCAGCTCCAGCTCTGGCACCGAGGAGGAGGAGGAGGAAGAGGAGGAGGAAGACAGTGGGGAGCAGTCAGAGGACAAGGAGGAGGAGGAGGAGGAGGAGAAGAGGCCAAAGAGGAAGGACAAGGAAGGTTCCCATAAGGCAGTCTTGGGGAGAGCGGGCAGGTACGCCCTGGGAAGGCAAGGGGGTGCTCCCAGCAAAACCCCTGCCCCAACCCCCTGAGCTGGGCTATCCCTGCAGCCCCAGTGAGGAAGAGGAGGAGGAGGGGGCAAAGAAGTCCAAGAAGAAGATCCTGCAGGGGAGGAAGGGCCGTGCCGAAACCTCGTCAGAGGCCAGCACCTCCGAGAGCAGCTCCTCTGGCTCCGACTCAGGCTCTGAGGAAGAGGCCAAGCAGAGGAAGGCGGTGAGGGCTGGGATGGGCTGGGATGGGGGGCTGCACAGGGATATCTGTACCCCTTATTGAACTCCCCATCTCTGCCCTGCTGCAGCCCCCCAGCAGCAAGGCCAGCTCCAAGGAGATCTCCCTGCTTGACCTGGATGACTGTGAGTGGCTTCCCGGAATGCGCGAATGGCCGTGGTGGTGGTGCTGGGGAAACTGAGGCATAAGCACTCACTCCAGTGCAATAAGGACTCCGTGGGTCCTTTGGGAGCTGCAAGGTGGGACAAGAACAGGTGTGGTGAGGGATCCTTGTCTCCAGAGGATAGCTGTGGGACAGGCGGCTGTGCCTATTGGATTGTCCCTGTGTGGCTGTGCACAGGGATAGCCTACAGGGTTGTGTCTACACCAATGGAGCTGTGCCACTGGGCTATCCTTGTGTGGCTCTCCCCATGGGACTATGCCACCAGGGCTGACCCCACGTGGCTGTCCCCATGGGGCTAGCCCCATGAGGCTGTCCCCATGGAGCTGAGCCACTAGAACTGTCCCTGTGTGGGTGTCCCCGTGGGGCTATGCTCACAGCCAGGGGGCTGTGAGCTCTGTTAACCGTTTCGTCCCCCCTCCCTACCTTGCAGTCACTCCACCTCCTCCTCAGCCCATCCCCTCCAGCAGCATCATCTCCACCAGCCTGGTGACCGACCTGGAAGGCCTCACTCTCACCGACACCTCCCTGACACCCACCGTAAGTGTCCCCCACACCCTCCCTGGGGAGGTCCCACGCCTCCTGTCACCTGCGGGGGCTCCTGGGCCCTCTGCCACCTGCAGGGGTTGCAGGGAGCCCTCAGCAGCCCCCACTGTCCCCTGCTGCAGCTGCTGAGCCCGGCGTTCAGTGCAGTGAAGACCTACGAGCTGCTGCACCGCATGGCAGGCGAGGGGCTTGCGGTTGAGTACTGCTTCAGCCGCCGGCCCTTCCCGGGCGACCCCCACATGGTGGCCGTCCAGATCCAGATCTCCAACAACACTGACACCGAGGTGAAGAACCTGCGAGTCAACGAACCCAAGCCACTATCTGGCATGAGGATACAGGAGTTCCCTGAGATCGGTATGGCATGGCAGGGCACAGCTGTGACGGTGTGGGAGAGTGGGGACAGGGGTTGGGTGGGAATGTGGGATGTAGTGGCATCCCTGTTGTTCCAGAGCACCTGGCGCCAGGGGACACAGCCAGCGTGGTGATGGGCATCGACTTCTGTGACTCCACCCAGGCAGCAAACTTCCAGCTGTGGTGAGCATCTGGCACCAGGCAGGGCAGGATGAGTGTCCCTGGGGATCAGGGCATCAAGTGTTCCAGAGATGGGGAAAGTGGGATAGGTATCAACAACCCTCCACCTAGAAGGAGACAGGAGACAGCAGAAGCAGGGCATGAGGGGGTGGAAGACAGCAGGACAGGCACCAGAATCCTTCCAGGGAAGAGGAGACAGTCAGATGGGCATGGAGTGGTCAGGGACAGCAGGAAATGCACAGGCCTCCCTGCAGGAGACAAGGAGGCAGCAGCAGTTCCAGGTCCAGCCTGACAGGTTCCCCCCATTCTTGAGCCCTTTTGTGCCACAGTTTCCCCTGGTCACCCCTGCCCAGGGCAGGGATGGGAAGCAGGGCATGGAGAGGGGACATATTCTGAGCATGTGCCCCTCTCACCCCCCTGTCTCCCCAGCACCCACACGCGCCAGTTCTACGTCTCCATCCAGCCACCCGTGGGGGAGCTCATGGCCCCTGTCTTCATGAGCGAGAACGAGTTCAAGAAGGAGCAGGGTGAGTGGGGCTAGGGATGGGGATAGGGTGCTGCACGGGCACCCACAACTGACACTCACCCCCAGTTTTGTCCCCTCTGCCGCCCTCGCTATGGCTCTAGAGCACCTGGCACGGCCGGGTGAGGGTAAGTGGCTGCTAAGCAGGCCCCTAGACTAGCTCTGCTCCCCTCACCCCACCCTGCACCCCCAGCCTGTGGGCTGGGGTGACCACCCTGGTGCCAGGGTGGCCTTTTTGGGTCTCCACAAAGTGTGAAGGGTCCATGTCACCCTGGCACTCCCAGAATTGTGTCTGGTGAGTGACACCCTGTGTCCTCGTGCTTCTGGATCAGCATATTCCGACCCTGACCTCATGGATGGGGGCTGTGTTGAGTAGGGGGTGCTTGGTGCCCTGCAGCACCCAGCCCCATTGCTATCACTGTCCAGAGGAGCCCATCCCCAGGGATGTGGCTGCTGCCAACAGGCAAGAACATGGGCATGAGCCCAGGAAGAGTTATGAAGAATTTTCCCAAATCCACTGAATCCTGAACCAAAAGCAAGCAGAACAACCAGCTCAGGATGTCATGGGGAACACAGGGAGCTGGAGGGGCTTGCTTTGGGCATGTCAAAGCAGGGCCCAGAAAGGTGTGTGGCCAGAGACAGGCAGTGCCTCTGTTGCCTGCTCTAGGGAAGCTGATGGGCATGAGTGAGATCACAGAGAAGCTGACGCTGCCTGAGAAATGCCGAAGTGACCACACCATCGTCCAGCAAGTGACCTCAGCTGCCAACGTGGGCCGCGTGCCCTGCGGTGCCAGCAATGAGTACAGGTAGCTGGACCCCCACACCTGGATCAGGCAGGCGCTGTCACCTCTCCATTCCAACCCAAATCAAGTGGGGACACTCGGGGCTTCCTTTAGGATGAGGAACCTGCGTGAATCCAAATGTGACAGTGGGCGTGGGTGGCAGGCGCTTGCCTGTCCCCACTGGAGCATCCCATGGGACCAGACGGTGACAGGGGACAGCTTGCCTTGAAGCCCTGTGTTCACCACCCAACAGGTTCGCGGCCAAGACGGTGACAAGCGGGAGCCTGGTACTCATCACCCTGGAGTGGCGGGAGGGCTCCACGGCCCAGCTGACCATCAACAGCGAGAAGATGGTCATTGGCACCATGCTGGTGAAGGACATCATCCAGGCCCTGACACAGTGACAGCTGGGTGCTGCCACACCCATGGCCCTGCCCTCCCACCCCTTCTGCCCCATGCTGCTCCCCAAAACACTCCCTTGCCCCCATTTCTGCCAGGTTGTTCCCTGCCCCGATCCCAAAAGGGGAGGCAGGCAGCAACCCTTGGGCCAGCTTTGCTGCTGGGCAGAAGGAGCAGGATGGGGCAAATGGGATGCAGGGGAGTGTCCTACTTGGAAGGGCAGAAGCAGTTCCAGCCCCCATGGAGCACAGTGTGGCCCCAGTCCCTCACTGTCATCTGCCAGTGTAACCCTTATTTATTATATCCAGGATCTCCCAATAAAGCTCTTCTCCAACCTGCTCCCTTTCCCTCCTCTGCTCTGTGGGCACATCAATCTCAGATTCTCCCCATGCCGGGCTCTGGCAGCCTCCCAGGGCAGCTACAGGGGACATCAGGGAACCAGCCATCCCTCAGGTGGCTGGAAACATGCAGAGTGTCCCAGGGGTGGGTGGCTGCTGGGCCCTGGAGAAAACCTGGCACATGGTGTTGGGGTGAACTCCCCAGGGCAGGAGATGCTCAGCTGGACCAGGGAGGAGTCTTGGGAGGGTTCCAGCTATTTATTCAAGGCAGAATTGCTCATGCTTCGACCGCAGAAATACCTGCTACGTCAGGGCTGGGTCTGTTCTGCAGTGTCACTGGAGGGATTCCTAGGGCCAGCTCTGGGAGGCGTTTCATCTCCAAACTGGGATTACAAAAAAAGAAGGAAATCTGACTCTTTATTAAGATCTCTCCTCCCAGCACAGGCTGGGTGGGATTTCAGTGAGCACTGGCTCTCTCCATCCAAAGCTGCAGCTCAGCACAGAGCCAGGCCCAGCACCAGAGGCAGAGGATGAGCAAAGGACGTGCAGGAAGGTCTGAATCCCGAACCGCCTCCGCTGCCACAAAAAGGGTGAGGGGCTTTCTGCTTTTTCCGGGTAAGAGATGAAAAAAAACCCTTTGTGTTTTCTGATGGGTGAGGAATCCCTGGCTGGAGCAGCAGCACCAACCACTGGGTGTCAAGTGCTTGTTCAATAGGGAAAAAGCCTATTCCCATAAGGACAGGGGCTGGAGCCGCAGCTGCCTCACAGGGAGCCACAATGATGCCACCACCCTATTTCCCTTAGGGAGGCTGATTTAACCCTTGGGATCCTATCCCTTCATGGGCTCAGTGAGTGCCACAGCCTGTATGTGGAGAAATGCCAGTGCACTGAGGCTGCCCTTGAAGACATCCCTTTAACCCCCTGGGGGTCCAATTCCCTCACGGGGGGCTCGGTGAGCACCACAGCCTGTATGTGGGAGCTGCCAGCACTGAGATGTCCCTGGGAGGGAGGCTGCAGCCAGGCATCACAGTGCCATCACTCCCTTCTCCTTAGGGGGACTGATTTAAGCCCTTGGGAGTCTCATTCTCCCATGAGGAGCCCAAAGAGTGCTAAGCCTGTGTGTGGAGAGCTGCTGGAGCCAAAGGGGCTCTGGAAGGGCTAAAGCCAGGTACCACAGCACTGTCATCACCCCATTTTTCTTGGGGAATCCATTTTAACCCCTTTGGGTCCCATTCCACTCAGAGGGGGTTCAGTGAACACTGGGCCCGTGTGTGGAAAGTGACTGTCACTGCAGTGGGCCCACGGATTCTGAAGCTGAGAGCCACAGCACTGCCACCATTTCAGTACCTCAGAGGAGCTGATTTACGTCCTTGGGGCACGACTTTAGCCCTTGGGGATCCCATTCCCCTCAGAGTGGGCTAAGTGAGCACCACAGCCCGTGTGTGGGAGCTGACAGCACTGAGGTGTCCCTATGAAGGCTCCAGATGGACACTGCAGTGCCACCACCATGCCATTCCACTCAAAGGGGCTCACTTAACCCCTCTGGGGTCCCATTCCCTCATGTGATGCTCAATGAGTGCTACAGCCAGAGAGTGGAGAGCTACAGGCACTGAGATGTCCCCTGGAGAGCTCCATCCAGGTACCACAGTGCCATCATCCCATTCCCCTTAGAGGGGCTCTTTTAACCCCTTGGGGGTCCCATCCCTTCATAGGGGTCACAGTGAATGCCACAGCTCATCTGTACGAGCTACCAACGCTGAGGCTACCCTTGGGGAACCCCTTTTTTACTTTTTTAGTCATGAGATGTCCCATCCCCTCAGAGGGGGCTCAGTGAGTGCCACAACCTGTGTGTGGAGAGATGCTGATGCTGAGGTGCCTCTGGGAGGCTTCAGATGGGCACTGCCACCAATATATTGCCCTCATGGGGGGGCTCATTTGAGAGCCCTTTGGGGGTCTCATCTGTCAGAAGAAGCACAGCCCAAGCACAAAATGCTGCTAGCACTAAAGCGTCTTCAGAAGGGCCCCAGCCAGGCAGTGCCACCATTGCATTCCCTTTGGAAGGACTGATTTAAGCCTTTGGAGGTTCCATCCCCTCACGAGGGGCTCAGTGAGCATCATAACCCATGTGTGGGAATTGCCAGCACTGAGGCTGGTCTTGGGGAACCCCATTCCCCTTGACAGGAAACATGTGTGCTCATGTATTTACAAACAATTCCATGGGTGAGGGAATGGGTTTGAAAGTGTTTGAAATGGTTCCTAATGTCCCTACCAAATTCAAGCTGCAGGTTTGTTAGAGAAACCAGACAGTTTAACTCCTGAAACACACAAAGGGCCTGTACAAGCCTGAGTTTCTGAACTCTGGGGGGAAAATAATGTGTTTAAAGGAGGAATATGTGGTAGGCAGTTCAGGAAGGCTGTACCTTCCGAGTACCTCAGCTGATGGAGAAAGGAAGAGGGCAATATGCAGCCGGGAGATCAGGGTAAAAGGAGGCTGTGCCCTCTGAAACCGAGAGAGAAAACCCCATGGGTATATGCCCCAGTGGAAAATCTCTCCCTTTATTTGAATAAAGTTGCAGGACTCCTCTGTCTCCTTTACAGACACTGACTTTTCAGAATGTGATTTTCTGCACATCCTCACAGGGCACTTGGTGAGCACCCAGCCTATGTGTGGTCAGTGGCCCCAGAGGTGCGAAGAGTTAGAATTGCAACCATCTCAGACCACTCAGAGGGGCTGATTTAAGTCCTGCTATAAATGAAAATTAGCCTAGCTAAACTAAAAATGAAATAATAAAAAAAATTATTTAGGATTGAATTTTTTTTGAGCTAGCCACAAGGAAAAGGAGAGCACCGAGCCCGGGATCGGCGTGACAGGAAGGATGCCTCTCAGCAGAGGTTTTTCGGGACACACACACTACTTTTTTGGACTTTGTAGCTCTTACAGGAAACTTTCTGCCTGAGGTTAGGATTTCGGCAATCCACTATTCAGAGTCCCACATATTCATAAAGTTCTTTTCTCCTAGCGGAGGTTAAACAATCTAATTGTAAACAATTTTTCCTAATAGTTACGAAAACCGCAGCATTCAGATGTATCAGCCCAGAAGACTCAGGTGATCACAATTTTAAGTCGTTACTAAGATAATCAGCTCCCAAATACTCTAATATCGCTCTTTAAAACAGCCCATCTCCAGACTAGCCATATATATTAAATTATAAATAAAGCATTATCCAAAAAACCCCAGCTCTAGTGTAACTAAATATATACAGAGAGCAGCTCACAGTGCTAGTGTATATATTTTATAATAACTAAATATTATATATGCCAAATCATATTTCCCTTAATTCAATACAATATTTCATTGGCGCAAATTATAATCATACATAACAGTTCTTAACTCCTGTCATTGGCCCTTGTGGTCCCGCTCCCCTTATAGGAACACGGTGTGTTGCCAGTGCTGAGATGTCCCCGAGGGGCTCCAGCTGGGCACTGCCACCACCATCCCACTCCCCTCAGAGGGGCTGACTTAACCCCTCAGGAGTCCCATTCCCTCATGGGGAGTTCAGGGAGCACCACATTCCTTGAGTGGAGAGTTTCTGGCACTGAGGTGTCCCCGAGGGGCTACAGCTGGGCACCACAGTGCCACCGCCACCCCATTCCACTAAGGGGCTGATTTAACCGCTATGGGCTTCCATCCCCGCTGAGGGGGCCGAGTGAGTGCCACAACCCATACGTGAAGAAATGATGACACTAAGCCTGCCCTTGCGGACCTCCATTTAACGCTTAGGGGATCCCATTCCCCTCACGGCGGGGGCACAAGGAGTGCCACATCCTGCGCGTGGCAGCTGCCAGCGCTGAGCCGTACCTGGGAAGGAAGGTGGCTGAAGCCGGACAGCGCCGCGGCCGCATCCCTCGGAGGCGGTGCCTGAATCCCTCGCGTGACCGACCCCACGTTAGCCCGGGGCGCTCCGTCCCCTCACGGCGCCCGGGCCGAGGAGGCTCCGCGGGGCTGCGGCGGGAACCGCCACGCGGCCGGCGCGTGCTGCGCGCATGCGCCGCGGCCCCGCCCCTCAGCGGCGCCCCCGCCCCGCCCTGCCCGCCCTCACCCTCACCCCCGGCCCGGCCCGGCCCATAAAAGCCGCGGGTCGGGCAGGGGGCAGCGCCGCTCCCGGTGTCCTCGGCGCCCTCTCCGCTTGTCCGTGCTGCGCTCCGGGACCGCCAGCCCGCCCGCAGTGCTGCCCATGGCCTTCCCGCCGGTAAGTGCGAGCATGTGCCGCCTGGACTGGCGAGGCCGCCCCGCCACGTGGTTCCCCGCCGTGGTGCTGCTGCGGGTGGCGTTCCCGCCCGCTTTATCCGTGTGAGAGCGGATGGGAGCGCCGAACCTTGGATGGTATTCCCCTGCTCCTGTTAGAGCGCTGCTATGGGATCCCTGTTCCCTTTGGGCTGGCCTCAAGGGGTTCCTGCTGCTGAGGTAGCCCTGGGAGCAGAGGGGGTGACCGACCGACCGACCCTGCCTGCAGGGAAGCGCCGCAGGAACCCAGATCCCAGCCTAGCGACGCACTGTCCCACCCTTCCCGGGGCTTTAGGGGGATGAAGCTGGGCTGCAGGTGCTGAGTTCAGCACTTGCCATAGTGAGCATCTTTTGGCTAGAGTGGGCACTTGTACTCATGCAAGTGGTATTTTTGCCCACTTCTAAACTGCCTTTTTTTTAGAGTATAAGGTGACCAAAGGTGCTGGGTTTTTTTGTAAACCATATGCTGAAAGCTCCTTTTAGTGTCTGGCTGGGTGACACAGGAGATTCGGTTCATAACTGAGTATAGACAAAGGTGAGGCTTATAAGTGAGACAAGTCTGCTGAAAAACAAGTTCTTTTTTTTACCCTTCGTTATTCCCCAGCTGAAGCCAATTAATGCTCATTACTGGTGCCTGTTACGGGCTAACAAGGTATGCTGGCACCTGGAGTGCTGATGAGGGACTTCAGGTACAGCTGGGCTCAAGGAAGAGCTCCAGGATCCCGTTACTTTGCTGCAGTTTATCTCAACTGGAACAGTCTCCCTAAACCAATTAAACCCTTATTCAGCTTTGACAGTCTGCTGCAATAGTGAACTGTGGGTATTGCTCTTGTACAAAGCTGCTTGTGAGTGATGGTTTCAGAAAAAATACCAAAAAATAGCTGCCTTGATGGCGAAATGCCCTTTAAAAAGGGGGATTTGGGCAAAACTGGTGTTGTTCTAAAGTCAGTGCTCACCTGTGAATTAAGACCAGTCTTAATTCAAATCAGGTGTGTTCAAGATGTCTATGCTCACTAAACCCCAGGACAGCTGTTTGTCGTTAGCCTTGCTGATGGTGGGAGAGCTGGTGCAGCCTTGTCTAACACTTTCTGGGATGAGCTGGGGGTGGGAGATTGTTGCCTGGTGGAAACAGTTACACCAATGTCCTGTTCTGCCCTGGTGTAGCTGACTTCAATTTGGGAAGCAAAACATACCCACAAAAAAGGATTTTCTGAGCTCCCTTTCATTGAAGTATGAAACCATCTTGGCTTGGTTATGTTGACATGGGTACCATTTTAATAGCATCTTAAATTTTGCCTTGGGATTGAAGGCCCTCTTGGCTGTAGCTACAGCTCCAAGAACCCCTCTGGGCATCAGCATGGTGCTGCCTAGGTGAGATTTCTATGGAAGATGTAAAAAGCAAAGGCTGGATTGTAGCTGAGGTGGATGAGCCTTGCCTGCTGCACAGCATCCCCAGGAGCTGATGCACATCTTGGCCATACTGGCAGCCAAGCTGTGTTTAATGACTTCCCTGAGGATTAGGCTATCCTAATCCTTTGGTAGTGCTGTTGTGATGCTGCAGGTTTTGCTTAGCCCTGGGATTTCATTATCTCTAGGTTTCCTGCAGGTGTGTGTACCTCAGTGCTGTGGAGGTTCCTCATTTCCACTTGCCTTGGACAACTTTGGGGTGTTTTGCTGCACAGGTGTGTATTGTACCACTGAATGCTGCTGGTTGTGCCTGGACTGGGCCCTCCTGCAGGTAAAGTCAGCAGGCTATGGGGTCTGCTTGGGGCTGGTGGGATAGGAACTCCAGGGACCTGTCAGCTTCCTGACACACAGCAGGAGAACAAGAGCTCTCTGCCATGGTGGTAAGGCTTGCTGATGCTCTGTTACTCTGCAGGAGGGGTACTCCTCCCTGTTTCTTGCACTCCTTTTCTCAATTCCATGTGTTTGTTTGGGTTGCAAGAGGGGTCTGGAGCCTTTCAGTACCCTCCTTGAAACCTCAGTGTTCTGGGGTGAATTTTCCTGCTTGGAAGTTCTTAGTTGAGTCAGGATGGACTGCCCTCCTGCCTGAGCTGTATCTGTGTATGATGCCACTTGGGTCTGTGTTTCTGACTCCAATGACTTAACCTACAATCTCAGAATCTTTTGCTCTGTGACACTATGGGCCTGCTGCAGGGAACTGTTCTTCTCCTTTGGTTCTTATCCAGGGGCTTCTGTAGGAACTTTAAGCTTTCCAAGAGACTGTCTTACCAGGTGTTAAGAAGCAGTGTTTGGACTCCTGGTGTCTTTAAAGCATCTGTCAGCTGGATCAGCTTCTCCATTGACTTGTTTATCCCCTGATAAAACTGTGTTTGTGCCTCTGGATTGGGACTGTGAGGTATAGCAGGATGGAATGGCTGAGAATGGCTGTTGGGTCCCTGGTTACACCCCAGGTTGTTTCCTATGCCACCAGGAGAACCCACTAGTGCTGCTGGATTGGTGCCTCTGGAAGCAGAGAGGATCTGTAGTTTGTAGCTGAAGTGTGAAGGCTTCTAGGGAAGCCTGGAGAGGCAGTGTGTTGAATTTGCCAAATCCTTCCAGGTGGGGCAGGGAAAGTGAATCCTACCTGGGCTCTGGAGTGCTGTGTTGCTTGTCTGGGCTGGGGATGATAGAGCAGCACCAGCTCTGGGTGGCGTTTCCCTGGCTTTGGAGCTGACTCTGAGATGGAAGCTCCTGGGTGGATTCTCCAGTTTGCGAACTCCTTCCACCTTCCTCTCCAGGCTCTTGGGGGTGGTTTAGGCTCTGAGTGTGCTGGAGACCTGCAGAGCTCTTCTCAAAGGAGTATCTTATTTTCCGGTTGTGGGAGGGGAGGGTGTGCTACGAGCTCCTTCCTACAAGGGGTTGCAGTGCTGCAAAGTCCCCCTACCCTGTGTCCAGGATGATGGCAGTATCCCAAGGATATCCTTGACAGTCTAGGGTTAAAAGGGGGTTTTTGTGGAAAGGCTTGTTTGTGTTCTCGCTGGTTTAGGCTCCTGTTTGGAGCAGGACTGGTGCTGCCAGTTGTGGAGGCTAAGTGACAAGGAACGGGTGGGGCGTTCAGCTGGCTGCTCCGGGTTATTTTGTCTCGCTGGTACAGACTCCTAGGGAAAAGCTTTGCTTCCTGCTGGAAGTGGTTCTTTTACAGGAACAAGAGTAGAATGCGGAGCTTCATGCTTGTGCCAAGGCATCCTGATGCGGCACTCCTTTTTATTAAAGATGACTGGCACTACTTGTGTAATTTGAGTTTCTCTACTCCAGCTGCTCTTTATAAAGACGACTTAAAGCGCACTCTGCCTCTTCTCTCAGCCTTCAGCTTGCTTTTAGCCTTACCTGTTTCACTCTTGTGTTACCTTGTTTGGCGGTGGACTCTGATGTGTTCATGTTCTCTGTGTTCATGTATTTACAAGCAATTCCATGGGTGAAGGTATGGGTATTAATGCCTTTTAAAATGGGTCTTAATGTCTCTACCAACTTCAAGCCGCAGGTTTGTTAGAGAAACCAGACAGTTTAACTTCTGAAACAGACAAGCTCCGTCTGGGTTTCTGAACTTTGGGGGTAAAGTGATGTGTTTAAAGGGGGGATGTGCGGTATTCCATGGAGGCGGTTCGGGAAGGCTCTACCTTCCGTACCTCAGCTGATGGGGAAAGGAAGAGAGCAACGTGTAGCCGGGAGTTTAGGGTAAAAGGAGGCTGCGTTCTCCAAAACTGAGAGGTAGAGAAAACCCCATGGGTGTATGCCCCAGTGGAAAATCTTTCCCTTTATTCGAATAAAGTTGCAGGACTCCTCTGTCTCCTTTATGGACACTGTCTTTTCATAGCGTGACTTTCTGCACAGCTCTGAGCATTTCAATAGCCAAAGATCCCGGCCCTCGGCGCTGAAGAAATGCTAATAGTCCTAACCGGGCTGGAGTTCTCCAGGAATTGTTCAGGTCCCGCCTGAAGGCACGGTGCGAGTTGACCGTTTAGTGGCTTATTCCTGCTACTTCCAGGACTGGGTTTCCTTTGCTTTTTACCTGTGAGGTGGGTAGTTGGATAAAAGGATGACATTGTGCACGTCTAATGACGAGGTGGGGGGTGGAATGTAAGTACCTGACTGGGCTGGGCTAATAGAATAGTCCCGTCTCCAGGTGAAGTTCAGTTTACACAAGCCTCCTTGAACGATCCGCAAGGGATCATTTGAAAGTAAAACCACCTCGGTGCTTCAGACTTGTTTGCGAGTGAAGCAGAACCGGAGGTAAGTGAGGCCTGAAACTTGCGGAAGCACATCCAAGAGGTGCCTGGGCCCCATTTAGAGCTTTGGTGTGTGTTGGAGCAGCAGGGGCTCGTTTGCCAGACCTACCTGATGCTCTTCAGTTCTTTGCATTTGAGTTTAGTTTGATTTAATGGCCAGTATTCTGCTCCGGAGTCCAGGACTGGTGGAGTTGTGCCTCCCTGCTCCTGTCTTTAAAGCAGGTCTGAGTTGCCGGCGGTACCGATTGCTCAGCGTGTTGGGGAGCAGAGTTTGCAGTGGCTTTTGGGTGGTGGGTGGACCTGTTCTCGGTCTCAAAACGCTGGTAGCAATGAAGCTTAGCAGCTTCTAAGTTGTCAGAGGCTCGAATGTGGTGCAGCTGCTCCCGAAGGAACCTGCATGTCGGTGGCTTGTGAGTAGAGCTGGGGAAGCCGCTGCTCTTCGGATCGGCACAAGAGTGCGGGAGGGGTTTGATGTGTCTCAGGCAGAAGCTTTACAAGAGGTGATCCTTTTCTAGGATGGTTACAAAACCTTGATGCTGGTGGATTTGTGCCCGTGGACGGTTGTGCTAAAGCAGAGATGGTTTTGGGTGCTACCTTTGTGGTCAGGAGCTGCTGCCTGAAGAGGAGATCAGGATTTTATCTTCTGCCTTTCCTCAGGATTTGGGGCTGTTTGATTAGCTGGAGAGCAGTGTTGTTTGGGTTTTTTTCTGCAAACCTGAAGTAATTGCTGCTGACTTGGATCATTGCATGATACTGTTAGGAACTCCAAAATGGGTAGTGAGGCGAGCCTTGCGCTCCTCTGCAATGCATAAGAGCAGCTGCTGTGGTTCCTTGTGGTGTCTGCCTGGACCATGAGCATCCTGCTTGTCCCTTGGTGTGAGGAGACTGCTGCTTTTGGGGTAGAAGGTGTGTGCCCTCATTAATCAGATCTCTGCTGGTGTTGTGATGGGCTGGAGAAAAACAGCAGGGAGCTGTGTTCACAACCCAGCTGGTTTGCTGTGGCTGTCAGCATGAAGTCCATCCCTGGTCCCTGTGTGTGATGGGCAGTCTGCTCCAGTGTGCTATGCTGACAAATTGCTGACCTGTTTGCTTAACTGCTTCTTTAATGCCAAGAACTGGGTTTGAGTGTTGCTAAGACGAAAGCTAATGTGAATATTGGAGGCAGTCCAGGCTTTCCACAATGTGTTGAAAGCTGAGTACTTGCCTATTTGACACACATACTGGTTCTTTTTTACCAGAAAGAAGATCCTGCGAGGAGCATAAAAGACTGCTGGGATAGCCCGAATGCCCCTGCACTTTCCACTTGCAGCAATGCGGATATATTCCGCCAAATAAATGCCATGTTGGACAACTCTCTGGATTTCAGTGGAGTCTGCACCACGCCTGTCACAAAAAGCAAATGTGACATCCTGCCAGGTGATGGAGGGGGGCTGTTGGAGTGGGGAGGCACTTGGTGGGACCTGGTGAGCAGATGGTGGTGGTGGTGGTAATCCTCAGTGGTGTGGGTGTTGGCATGCTTGGTACCCAGGGGGTTCTTTGCTTGTGTACCTGAAATGAGTAGTCTGTGTATTCCCTGGCAGCGTGGGGGGTGCCTGGGAAGGCTTGCTTGCCTCCCTGTGGTGCTGTGGGTCATTGTGGGCACGATGTGAGTGCTCCCTGCCTGACCTGCCAATTCCTGGTGGGAATACCTCCAGCAGACTCCTTTAGTCTGCCTCTCCTGGAGGCAGGATTCATCTACTCTCAAGGTTAGCAAGGCTGAGTTGCTGCATACATTGAAATTGCAAAAGAATTTTGAAAAACTGTATTTGCCACAGGTCAGTTAACATGCATGTAAGAGCACAGGTAGGTGCAGACTTCCCTGCAAAGCAAGCTTGGTGTGATGAAATCAGTACTGCAAGCTTCTGTTTCCTCCAGGCTGAGGGGAGTGGACCTGTTCTTCTGCTGCCTCAAGACAGAAGTTGTGTGCCAGAGCAGAGAGTGTTTGGTCTGGTCTTATTTTTATCCAGCTGAAGGACATGCTTTTGTCCCTTTGCAGCAGCCCAGGTTTGCCAATAAATGTATCTATACCTGATACTCTGAGCAGCAATGCTTGTGCCAGGATTTGGACACTTGAAAGGGGTTGCTCTTGCCTCTCCAGCCTCTGAATTATAGGGTCAATAAACACTTCAGCCATCATTGGAAACAAACTGGCCCCTCAGGATAGGTCTCAAAACAAAGTGGGAAGTAAAGAGCTGAACGTCCCCAGCTGATGACCTTGCAGGGTTCCCTGGGCAGAGCAGGTTTCACTGCAGCTATGTGGAGACAGGGTTGCCTTGGCCTCATGGGTAATCTGAGGTTTAATCAAATGGGTGTGGAAAAAAACTCTAAATGAGTATCTGTGCACCGTGTGGGTCTGTTTGATGCCTGTGCGGTGCAACTTTGTTTTGGGCTAATGAAATGACTGCCAGCAGATGACTTCCAGTGCAGCTTAATCTCCTGGGTATTTGAAGACTTGCAGTGTGGACCTGGGCTGATCTGGGCATGTGATCCCATGCTGGTGCTGCAGAAATACCAGAGGAAGGGAATGGCTTGCTTTGAGGCCTGGATCCATGGCCAGCATTGCTTGAAACCTGTCTGGTAAAGTGGCATTGGCGGCTATGCTGGCTACTCCTGAGCAATGGTGTAGTGAATATTAACCAGTTCAGGTTAGTGGTGCATTTGTAGATATTTGCTGCTGTGCTGGTTTGGTGGTGGCTTTTTTTTTTTTTTTTGATCCCCTAGCACAGTAGTAGCTGGTGCTGTATCTGATCTGGATGCCCTGGAAGCATAAAAGACAAATAAATGTAATACTTTTCTCTCCTTGCGGTGGGTTCATGGAAGAGTTGTTTCTGGCTTCCTTGTTCAAATCTTTGCTATAGCCCTTCCTACTCCATTTGGAATGGGAATATTTCAGGGACTCTTAGAACATGTTGATGGTATTTCCTGACTGAGTTTCAGCTTGCCAAAGTTAACCTGGCTTATAAAGGAGATGTCTCTGCCTGCTAGAGGAGAGTGATCATGTGAAGGTGTGGGTTAGTTCTGGTTTTGTGTCTGAGCTTAAGAGGTGGTGCAGCAATTTTAAATTGCAGTGCTTGACTTCACAGTATTTGACTTTGAAGACTTCTGTGAGGGATGGGTCTGTTTGCCTGTCACTGGAGTAGGAATTCTTACTGACCTGCTGCTTGCAAATCTCTGCATTTTCTGTCATTTACTCTGGTTTTCCTAGGGATGTCTGGAGCAGAGTGTCTTGCTGGCGATGCCTTGTCTGGAAACTTGAGTTTCCCAGTGGTGTTAAACTGCTTGTTTCAGGTGATAAATCCCGTGGAAAACCTCTCATAGGGCAAGTACACTGACAGGTGTAAAAAAAAGAGCGCCTTCCTGTTGCAAATGTTATTTTTGCTGCAGGGAAGCCAAAGTTGTGCTTTGGGGACACCCTAAGCAGCTTTTTTTTTTTTCCTGCTCTGGCAGCCGAAGGCCAGTCTCACCAGTGAGTGCTGGGGACCAGGGTGGGGCCTTGCTCATCAGTAGTTTCCCAGACCCAGGAGGGTTTTAGCTTGTGTCAAATGCCCTGTATAGTGACACAAATGCTTATGATGTTGTGAGGAAAGAATGCCTCACTTCCCAAAGGGTACTGCACCTTGCTGAGGTGGGCTAGAGGAGGGCTGCCTTGGGCTAATGGAAATGTGAAGGTACTGATAAGAGAAAACCTGGGCTGGCAGCTACCAGCTGTAAATTCGTGGATGAGTCAGCATCTGCCAAAGTGTTGGCAGCTCAGAGTTACTGGTCTTGCAGTCTCAGCCTTGTTTCCTTAATGTTGGAGCTGGGTCCTCTGGGTAGGTGATGAGGGCCTGAATGCAGCAGCTCTGCAAGCTTTGTCCTGTCTTCGGAACTGCAAAGTGCAGGAGCTGCTCCTAATGTTTGATAGGTTACTAATGAGAGTTCTCAATGAAAAATCTGGCAGTGTCAGTAGCAATGTGAATCCTGGGGCATCTATGATCTGTAAATGAGGGAGTTAGTTTGACACCTGGATTCTAGCCTGGATTGTGCAGAAGTTCACACCTGATAAGGTGGTAATTCACACCTGGTAAGGCTGAGCAGCTGATTGCTAAAATGCAGAATATAGTGTGGGTACCTGGGCAGGTGGTTAAGCCTGGAATAAGTTGTTGGAGCTGTTTGCCTTGCCATTGAGTGAACTTCTGGGTAGGTGATAAATGGAGCAGAGACCCTTCACCTCAGGTGGTGTTTTGTCGTTGCTCCAAGTCAAGTAACTTCTGAAGAATTCCGGAGTCTGTGCTTGCTTTTATTTTGTGTGGGAACAACTGTATTTAGACTAGATTATCATGAGACTCCTTGATTGGGCAGTCCTAATGAGTCTGGAGATCCACCGTGAATGTGGTAGCTGTAACAGGTGAAAGGACTGTCTTTTTACAGCTTAAACTCTTTTAATAGCAGAGCTTGGGGGAGAGACTTTATTCCAGCAGTAAAGGCTTGGGCTTTATTCATGGTCCCTCAAGCTTTTCAGTTGTCATCTTCAGGTCAAACTAAATTTATCCTGGCTTGGACTTGCGTTGAAGAAGCCCCTTTGAGTACTAAGAGGATTACACGTGGTGGAGAAGAGATGGCAGCAGTTCATGACCTTTCACTAATGCTATTGGGGAAGCACGTGTGGAGACACTTTCCTGGGCTGACCGTGCTGGGATCAGTGCAGCCTGAGCAATGTGAGAGGACAGGCTGATTCAGCACTCCTGGATCCACGCAGTCAGTGTTATCCCCTTCTGGGCATAGCTGGGACTGCTGCTGCCGGTTCAGCGTGTCACACCTAAAGTTGGACGTCTGTAAAGATCAGTTTGCAGCTGCTGATAATCCTTGGTGAACTTGGTTGCCTTGTTAAAGCCAGCTGTGTTGGGATGCCCGGGCTGAGCACCCTGCCAAGGTTTGTGTGGAGCTCTCCGAACACCGGGGTTCTCTCCCAAACTGTGGGGTGCAGTGGTGTGGGGAGAGCTGTCATTGTAGAACCTGTCTGGTGGCTTCTGGGACAGGGTCATGGTGCTTCACAACTGTCGCATATCCAGCTGCCTCACTGCTTTCTGGGGAAAGGCAGAACCTCCTCAGTGCAGACCTTAACCTAGTGGCTTTTCGTGTGGTGCTGGAGATGGGAGAGACAGTGTGGCCTTGACAGAGGCAGGAGGCAGCATCTCCTGACGGTGCTGCTGGAACAGCTGCCTGTCCTTGAGCAGCTGCTGCACAAGGAATGTGATTTTAAAGCTGTTGCATATGTTTATCACCTCTCTGAATGAGAACGTGGGCAAGGCCAGTTTCTTAACTGGCTGCTGGTTTGTTTGCCAGGCTTTAAAGCTGGGCCTTGCTGGATGGAAGGTGCTGCTACATACACCAGCTTTTGAAACTGTAGGCACAGCTTCTATCTTTAGTAGAACTGGGAGTAAAGTTCCCACGGGAGCTCTTGTATACCTGTTGCTGGTTTCAGCTGAAGGCAGTGCTTTGTTTAAAAGGAACTTTGAAGACATATAGGTACCCCAAATGTCCCAGCAACATTGATCTCTCATTCATTAAGTTCTGCTCATTTAACAGTAACAAAGCAGCCATTATTTTGCTCTAACTTGACAGTCCATTGTGTGAAGAAAAGGGAGATGCTTAAATGACTTTTCTTCGGCTAGAAGAGGCTCCAGGTGCCAAGTTCAGTGTTCAAAGGCTGTTAGTTGTGGCCCATCAGGCTTTAATGACTCTGTGGCTGCTTTATTTAAGGAAAACTGAAGGACAAATGCAAACCCAGACTAGCTGATGACTAAATTGGCTTCCTGTTTGCTCTTAACTGCAGTCAATTAATGACCTATCACTTGTTTAGTCGTCCAAAAAGTGTGTCTGATATTGTAATGTAAATTCCTTTGCTCTTCTGTGCCTTGCAGCCCCAAGGAAACATTCCAGACAGCACTGGGTGGCTGGATGCAGCTGACCTGATATATATGGTCTTGAATGGGGGGCAAAATGCTCTAGGATGCGGAGACCCAAAAGGTAGCTCTGCTTACCTGGAGGTACTGAGGCAGAGTAAGGCTTTTAGCAGGAGCTCACATGAAGCTGGCAGAACCATTCTGCCTGCCCCAGAGAAATGCTGGATGCCACATACTCATCCAGAATAGGGAAATTCTACACCCATGCCTCAGAAAAAGAGCATACTTACTTGCCTTGGTCTTGTTGGCATTTGGATTTGAAGTGTCACGTTGCCAGGTCTTTGCCTACACAATCATGATGCTTCTCTCTACTGTAAAGGGCTGTAGTAATTGGTTTGTGTATCAGATATGCAGATGGAAGCAGGTCAGTGTTCGGCAAAGCAGGGACTTGGCCTAGGGCTGTTGTATTTTGCCGGGTCAGAGATTGGTGGTGTTCCTGAAGATCCAGCAGTTATATGATTTGTACTGAGCTCTGCAGCTCAGGTTTTTGGTGCTGTAATTCTGTGACAGTCTCTGTTACTCTTGGAAGGGGGAGGTAGAGCAGAAAGACTGTTACAGTGCCTCTTCCTTGGTTTCTGAAGTAGCTGTTTGCCAGCTGCTCCAGTGTTTGTGGTTATGGAATAAGGCAGCCTCCATCTGGCTGTGAAACAGGTCATGCAGCAGCAAGTGTCTCCACTTCAGGAACTTTTCAGATTACAGGGGAGATGCTTAGTTGTGTTTCAGAAAAACCTCTTGTAACTAGTAGGTTTATGCTGAGCAAGTGCTTTTCTAAGTCCCTGATGATCTCCACTGCACTTTGGGAATACAAATGGCTCATCTGACAGCTTTCACTTGGATATTTGTCTTGTGTGCAGAAGGCATTTGAGAGGCTTAATTTTCAGGGATGCAATTCCCAGCCTTTACTGTTGGAGGTGCAGAGAAGTGTGAACGGCAAAGCAATGCTGCTGCTGGCTGCTGCCTTCCTGTTTGTCTTCTAAAGGCTTCTCCCCCTGTCTCTGGCTTCTCCAGATTTGGTTTGGAAGTTCAGCCTTGGTCAGAGCTGTAGCCCATGGGGTGAATCTGGTTTTGTCAGGTAAGAGAATTTATAGTTAAGCTGGGGTTATCATTCTGCTGCCTTCAATGCTTGGGGCCCATTCAAGGAGGGGTTTCATCTGTATTCAGGCTCTCGTGGAAACCAGCATGTGGGGGCAAAGGGAGAGTTGTCTTGGCTGTGGAAGAGGTAGGAATGGGATCTGACTTGGTTCATGTTTGCTTAACCATTCTGAGAAAACCCAGAAGAAAACTGTTTGCTGGATTGTTAGCTGGCCTTCCCAGATCTGCAAGGCTCAACTACCTGAACACCTTTGTTCTAGGTTGAAGCACCACCTTTCCAGTCTGATGGCACAGAGATGCTGCTGCTATGGGTTGGGAACTGAGTCATGCTTCCTGCTCCTCCTGCTCCCTTAACCCACAACCTGCCTGTGGATCCCAGCTTCTGCTGCCAGGCCCTGTGGATCCTTCCCACACAGGCTTAGGCTGTAATTTCCTAAATATTTTCTTGTTTGAAGTGCCTGGTTGGTGCAGCCATACTGCATACCAGATCAGGGGAGAGAACCAAGCTTAAAACTAACTCCCTGTGGCTTGGTTTTAACCAGATGAGCTCCCCAGCCCAGCTTCCTGTGTGGAAACTCACCTGCCTAAAGTGGAGTGAGTGAGGAGGGCGGGCTGGGGTGGGGACAGGGGCTGGGCCTGTGGGAGCTGTCCTTGCCTGCAGGTGAGAGCTGAGTTCTGGAGATCCTCACCTTCAAGAGCCTTTGGAATGTCTTAAATCCAGAGCTCACAGTTAAAGTCTGGAAAATGCAGCTTTCTGTGTGGGCAGTGGTGTGGAAAGCTGTCTGGCCTGTGCTGCAGTGTGGCCTAGCTACAGGGATCCCCTGGACAGGCCAGGAGGGAGTCACCCAGGAGAGACACTTGCTCCAAGGCCAGTGAAGGGAGTGTTTTGTTAAGGGCTTTGTTCTCATAATGCTGTTGAAATCAAACCCAACAGGCTTAGGAGGCAGGAGCTCAGTCTCTCCCAGACGCTTGGGCACAAGCCCAGTGCAGCGCCGCTCCCTCTGCCAGGATGGTTGGCTTCCAGTGGCAACTCCAGGGAAAAATCCAGGTTGGAAGGGCTTGTGCTGGTGGTTGGTGCTTGGAAAAATCTGCAGTAAAGCATTTGGGTTGGGCTGTGTCAGGTTGCAAAGTGAAGTTATTTAATATTTGGTAGACATTTAGTTATTCATAACTGGAGGTTATGGCTCTTAAAGTGAATTTTTGTCAGAAATTTAATTCTTCCTGCTCTAGTATCTAATTCATTATTTCTGCCTACAGCAATTGATTGCTTTGTAACAAATCTCCAGACTCTTGACTTTTAAAAATAACTAGTCCAGAAATCTGTGTAAGTTCTTTGTCTGTTTAGTTGATGTTTTGCCTAGATGACCTGTATCTGTCTTTCAGCCTGGCTGGGAATATTAAAGGGGAAGCAGCTTGGGCTGGTGGTTGACTTCTGATGGGAAAGGGTCTAAATAAAAATTGCTTGTTATCTGAGTGGATTCTGCTCTGTGCTTCCACAGTTAGAGCTGTAACTGGATTGCAGGGAGTTTGTTTTTAATGTGGGTTGAAGTCATCAGAGGAAATAATGGATCTTTTACTTGAATCTGGTTTGGTTTGATTAAAGGAAAGTTTATTTCCTGAAAAATGTGGATAGTTAGGGAAAGCCTGGCTGGATACTGCAGAGTGAGTGCTTCCTGTTACAGATAAATTTGTTCCCTATTTTATTTCTTCAGTTGTGGGTTTCATCCAAGCTGTTGGGATTCAGGTTTTGCTGTGTGTCACTACTGTGTCCATGCTTCCCAGAAGATGAAGCTTTGTGGGAATTATTCTTTTGAGGCCTAGCGAGATCCCTGGTCCCCAAAGGGAAGGGAGTCTCCTGCTGCCAGGGATCTGTGCACAGCACTTGTGTGTTTTCATAAAGGCAGGAATGTTACATATTCATATGGACAAGTTATGGTTGCTGTGGGAACTAGGTTGGCTGAGCACTGTCTTGATCCTCTCCTCCCTGTGTTAGAGATGTCCAAAACAAGCCATTAAGAAACTATCTGGGAAGAATTGATGCAGTGAAATGCCATGCTGGAGATGCATAGATGCATCTGACGCTGTCAGAGGAAGAGGTGCTGTTACAGGTGCTTGGTAGTAATGTGACTGAATTGACACTACAGCTTGTACTAGTACTACTAGGAGTAGGAAACACCCTGGTGGATGCTATCCTGGTGGAGTGCTGTGGAGGAGGCTGCAGCTGGGAGGGGGGAAGGTGACGTTGCCAGCCAGGTTATGGTTTTAAATGCTCTGATCCTGCCTGTGGTGCCTCAGTCCCCTCACTGGGGTCTGGGAATGCTGGCGCTCCCAAACTGCCGTGGGCTGAAGGCAAGGGTCCTGCCTCTGGCCCCAGTGGCCTGTGTCACACATAGGCTACCCAGCTGCCACCAGCCTTTGCCCAGGCTTTGCTCATGGGCATCCAAGTGGCATGGGATGTGGATGTGGAAGAGGAGGCCAGAAACGCTGTCGGGCTGGCTGGGATGGCTGGGACTGCACGTGAGGGATAATGTGACAGACTGGAGCGACTGCAGAGCCTGCGGAAGAGCCGGGAGCGGTGTGTGGAGCGAGGTGTACATCTGATGGCACAGTGGGAGGCTGTGGGGGCAGGGGGAGGAGGAGGAGACAGCTGCTGCTGCTTGGGAGTTGGCTTATAAATGCCCTCTGACTCAGATTTCGGGTAGCACAGCTGAGCATCTTGTGGTTTCACCAGCCCCCAGATCCCTGCGTTAAACTGGAATTCTCAGACTATGAACCTGCTGCGTTTCCTTAGGCTGTTGGCACTGGCTTAAACCAAGGCGAGAATCCGCATCTCCAGTACTGTAGGCTTGTGAACGCCCTGCAAGGGAGGGGAGGGCTGGAAAGGGGGGACCAGGTGGGCAAAAGGTATACAGGCCATGAAAAATTCCTGATGTGAAATGAGTCTGCTTGGTCCTCTTCCTTCTGTACCAGTGGGATGTGCCCACTTGGGCTGGACCAGGGATGATGGGCTGCTCTCCGGGCAGTGGGGGTTGAAGGTTATCCTTGTTACTCGGGTAAACAATGCCGAGTCAGTGAGGCACAGTGGCCGGGCTCGACCAAACAGATTATGCCAGCAGAATTGCGAAGCTTTGCATCGGCTCTGAATTGGAGCCAGCAGCTGGAAGCTGGCCAGGACTAAAGTGTTTTTGGGTTTTGTGGGTGGAGGGAGGCGGGGACAGGAGAGCTGGGTAGCACTAAAACTAACTGTGCTCTGTCGCTGCTGCTCTCGTTGTCGTTGCTGGGGGGATTGCTGCCTCCAGCCTGGTGTCTGCTGTGCCGAGGAGCCCTGCTTTGTGCTGCCTGCCTCCCCTGATTTACTGGAACTGCTCCTCTTTCCTCCAGCTACCGTCTTGTCTGTCAGGGGAAATCTTACCCGTTCTTCTTACCTTTATTTTGTAAGAGCTGATGCAGTTCTCTTGCATGGCAGAGTGACGTCACTGTCAGCACAGTAAGCATCAGCAGCCTGGTCACATGCTGACCCAGTCAGTAATGCAGACGGGATAGGAAGGTGGAGGGGCCGAGGGGGGTGGGGGGCTGGATTCTGGACATATGGTAGCCCTCCCTTTTGGGGTGCAACTGCTGGTTGCAGGAGCTGTGGCTTCAGAGCAACACGAGACCTGGCCTGGGGCTTAATGCTTTGGAAAACTCCTGCTTTAAAAAGAAAAAAGCAGCCCTGAACTCTCAAGCTTCTGTTTGTTCTCCATCCGAGCAGACATCCAGGACTCTGAAGAAGCAGTGGCAAGCAGGATGCTCTTCCCTACGTCCACGCAAGAGTCTTCCCGTGGCCTCCCAGACACCAACGATCTGTGCCTTGGCCTGCAGTCTCTCAACCTGACAGGGTGGGACAGACCCTGGAGCACCCAGGACTCTGACACTGCAGCACAAACCAGCACACAGTCCGGTGAGTCTGCTGACACATGCAGCAACAGTTGTTGGATTCTGTGTGTGTTTTTGGCTGGTTTCAAGCTAACGCGGAGTGATGTGCTTGTGTAACAGGGCGCTGGCGGCGGCTGATGGGGGCTTCTTGGTGCTTGTGTAATGTGACAGCTGAGTTGGGGAGGCTGTGGCTGCCTGTGCCACAGCCCCCTCTGCTCTGCTATCGGCTCACTGCAGATGAGAAGTGCCCGGGGTTGTTTTGCTCAGAGCTGTAACACTGCTGGAGGAATAACCTCACCAGGAGAGGAGAAATCCTCTTGCTGTGTTTGGAGGGAGTGGGTGGGGGGTGTGGTGTCAGGAGGCTGAACACGCTGGGGAGGAGTGAGCCTGAACTTCGCTCCAGCAGCCTGAGGAAATCCCTAGTGGCAGGGAGCTCTGCAGGTGTGCGGGGGGGTGTGGTGCTTGCAGAGGGTCCCCCCTGTGCCCAATTGCCAAAGTCCCGGCAGCCTCACTCACCCAACTCTGCTGTGGGGTGTGGTACAGCCAGCAGCCAACAACTTCAGCCAGGTTGGGGCTGGGTGGGAGACTTGGAGGGATTCTTCTCCACTCCCACACTCAACTAGAAATAGTGGGCTGTGCCTGGCAGTGGGCTGCAGGAGATGCAGTGGAATGGCTTCTTGTTTTAACTCTTCTGGTCCGGCGCAAACCTACGTGATGGGGAGGGTGTGGGCTTGCAGCCACGAGCTGCTGGCTGGTATGTCCTTCCCCCTTGATCCTTTCCAGTCTGCTTTTACAGCTGGGATTGGCTGGGGATTCCAGGGATGCTGGGTACCCCCCTGGAGTGATGTAGGGTCCTGGTTAACTGTTTGAGACACCGGCCTTCCCTGTAAAATCCCAGGAGGAAAGAGTGGTGCATGCACAAACTTAATGCATCCTCTCAGCCCGGTGTTGGAGCAGAGGGGTAAAACAGGGAAGAGTTCACTTGTTAGCGTTTGAGGCATGTAAAAACCAGTTTCACAAATGGTGTGTTCATTTAAGTATCAGTCTGTGGAAAGATCTAGTGCTTTGGCAGAGTTTGTACAAGTACAGCCTGGTTGCTACAGAAACTCATCCCTTTATAGCAGCATGCTGCTGCTTTGTTAAAAGGAGAGCGCATCACTGTGCAGACTTGGGTGACACAGAGGCCCCAGGCATGGAGTTGGTGCTGACAGGAGTATAGATAACTTCTTGGCTGGGGGAGCTGGGCAGTGGGGCTTGCCTGTGGAGATCTTTGGAGGGGCAAGGGGGTGCTGTCCTGAGCATAGAAATAGCTTCGGTGACACAGCCCTGGGTTGCCGCATGAGTTGTAAAACAGCAAAAAAAAGTTCTAGTGGGGTAGCAGAATTGGAACAGCTTGATCTGCACAGCTCATTTGAGTTTCTGCATTTAATTTCCACAAGACTTGGCATGTGGGGCCTGGCATGGGCACTTGAGGTCTGCCTGCAGCCCAGCTGCGGTAGCTTTATTAAGCTTTGCTCTGCTCCAGTGAGCAAACCTCCACATGGTCCTGTGGGCTTCCCCTAATGAACCAGGGAATACCACACGCTCCTGCCTGTACTTTCATTGCCAGCTGAGACCTCGAAGGAGGAAGGAGGAACAAGAAGTTAGCGTGTGGTGGGCCAGCCAGGTGCATTAGAGCTCTGGTCTGAGCCCCTTTCAGCTGTTGGCAGACTGGAGCCCTGCTGTTCCAGGTGTCACAGGGTCTTCAGTGGATGAAGAGTGCACTTGGAGCAGGTGACATCCCCTGGAGTGACCCTGCTGCTCACAGCCCTGGCGCCGGGCTCGGCGCACAGCGCGCTGCGGAATGAGCCTGTCACACATGGAGGCAGCCACTCGGTGCGGGTGTCCCAGCTCCACCTGCTCCTCTGTAGCCATCTCCAGAGCTCTTGGCCAGCTTCCTGCCAGCCTGCCTTGGCAGAGCCATGGATGTCTCCGCAGTGCTCCGGCAGGGAGGCGAGCAGTGCTGGCATTAGCCCGGGATGGGCTCTGCACCTTGGAGGTTGTGTGGTGAGGCTGGCATGGCCATGCTGGTGGTGGGAATTTACTGCAAAGGGGGTGGAAGGGCTGCTGGTTTCAGGAGAGAGATTGAGTTGGAGAGGATTTGAAGGTGCTCTGATGACCTCCCTGCTCACAGAGGGTGTATCTGGTGTCAGGTGCCCCTGCTGACTGCAGTGCTTTGTGCTGGGGCTCCTGCCTGCTGCAGAGGCCTGTATAGAGCTGTGGAAAGGATCTTGCCTCAAGCACAGCCCTGGGCTCTGATGATCTGTGCCCACTGGGTGGTTGTGACAAGTGTGGTAACAGCTGGTGGAAGATGGCACCCAGTGCTGTCTGAAGAGGACTGTTTCATCACTTCTGACTCTGGGTATTTCCATTAGTACACAGAGGGGGTGGCTGGGATGTGAGAGCTGCCCGAGTGCAGCTGTACTGCTTGTAGGCACTGGCCTTCAGTGGCTGTGCAGAGGGTGCAGTGCCCTGTGATCCTGAGGCAGTGTTCTTCACATTCCCTTTGCAGGTGAGCAGCAGCTGGGCCAGGAGTGCTTCATGGTCTGGGCTGCTGTTACTCTGCTGCTCTGAGAGCAGTGGGGATGGTTGGGGAGGTGAAAGGCTGATCCTGTGCCCAAGTTTGTATTCCTTCAGCCACCCACACTTCCTATCTCTCTGGGGCCTTAGCCCTTCCTCAGGGCCCTGGAGGAGTGGCAGTGGAGTCCTTGAAAGCAGAGGGCTTGTAGTTCAGAAGTGTTTTCTGAAAGGTTGTGGAACACTCTGGGTGGCAGAAAGGTGTCCTGTGTCTGAAAGCTGTGTGGGTCTAAGGAGCTGGCAGATGCTGGAGCTTCCAGGTGGCCTGTTCATGCTGTGATGGAAAGAGGGAAGATATGGAGAGGATGTTGCTGTGTCTGAGTGCTGCTGAAGCCTGGGAGGCTCCGCTGGCCCAGCCTCTAGGGCTGGGTCTCCATCGGGGTGTCCTGCAGGCAGGTGAGGCTGCGGCAGTGCTGGGCTGTGGCTGGGCACGGGGGAGGGCTGGCACTGCCAAGCAAACTGTTGTGCTGCTGGCACCCAGGCGTTCGGAAGGTTCCAGCAGTGACTCAGCTGTGCGGACCCACAGAGAGGTGGCTGGAAGGGTGGAAATGCAACAAAATAGCTAACAATCAGGCTAAAAATATTGCTGATGTGGTCCCCTGCAGTGCTGTGCTTGAGTACTGATGAGCTGGGACCTGTTCTCAGTATAGTCCCTGCCAGCACAGGGCTTCCTCAGCTTGGGAAGGACCTTTGGCTGCAAAGCCTTCTGGTGTCACCTTGTGCTCCCAGGGCGTTGGCACCACACAGCTTGGTGCAGTAGGAGCACATGCCAGCTAATTGGAGGCTGGAGAACAGTGGGGGCTGGTTTTTATGCCCCACTCCTGCCTACATCCCCTGTTCCCAAAGGGCTGCTGAGCCCCGTGCACCCAGACAGGCTTATTTGTGAGGAGTTCTCCTTCTGCACCAGGCCTGTAATGTACAGAGGGTGTGTGCTGGTGCCTGGAGAAGCTCTCTGGAGGCAGTGGCTGCTGCAGGCTCAAGCTGCTGGCACTTCCTGGCTGTAGGATTGAACTGCTGTCTCACAGCCGGCAAAGTGTCTCAAACCCTCTGCTGCCACTAGGTCTGTCAGGCTGGAAATACTTCAGCAAGTCCCAGCAACCTCGTCTTCCGCCTGGGGAGGGACCTTTGCAGGAAACTGGCCTTTAACACTTGCAGTCCTACCATTCTGTATTTCTTGAGGCCGTGTTTCCCTGTCTTTAGCCTCCTGGTAGGTGGACAGGTGTGCTGACATCTCAGAGTTCAGAGGCAAGGAGGGGTTAAGCAGCAGTGAGGTGGGACTGCCCTTGATGATATCCTTTACCTTCACTGCCCTGTTTCTCAAGAAGTACAAGTAAATGGGGTCTTGATCCAGTTTTTGCCTGGAGAGCAGTGGTGCACAGCAGATCCATGTGCAGATTTTGGGTCTCTCTGCCTGGCTTTCAGCCTGTGTGCCAGCTGCTTGGTCTGGCTGGTCTGTCCTGCCCTACATTGGGAGCAGTCCCTATGTGGGACAGCCGACTTGCCCATGGGGAAATATCCTAAAACCAGTCTGTTAACACTAAATCTGCAGTGCTAACCTGGGAGTGTTTCTAGCAGGATCAGGTCCTCTGGAGAAGATGTTGTTGGGCTCTTGAGGCGAGTTCTTCCTGCTGACATCTATCTGATGGAGCATCTTGCTGCGTCTGCCTCTCTGCTTGTGTGTCCCTAAAGCTGCTGGTGCAGCAACAGATTTGAGCTTTTCCTTGGATTTGCTCTTGAGACTGCAGCTCCAGCCTCATCTGTGTCCTCTGCGGGGTGGCTGCTGCTGTCTCATTCTCCAGCCTGCAAGGTTGCAGCTCCTGTCTCTCTGGTCCTGGGGAAATGGCCCATGGTAGGAAAATGCTGCTGAATCTTTCCAGCCCTTGGCTCTTCTGCTTCCCAGAGCACAGCAACTCATTTTTGCAATAAGCTTGCTTATCTGTAGTTGTTTAAAATCTGCCAGGCTGGAGCTGCGGGCAGTCTGTTGTGCGTTGCCTGGCAGATAGCGAGGCCTCAGAGCATGAATCTCTCTGAAGTCTTCAAGGCAAAACCCCATCTGAAAGATGAAAGAAAAGACCTGTTGCACAGGAAGAATGGTTGTTGTCATGGTCTCCTTGCCTTTCTTCTTGATAACAGCAGGAGGGATTCATAAGCTGCTCCCTGAGGTCAGGCTGTTTTCAGAGTGTCCTCAAATGCTATGTGTGCTGTAGGGCACCTGAGCCCCCCAGGGGAGAGTTGCTGCTCAGCCTGGGGTGGCTGTTTATAAATGCACTATGGTTTATACTGTCACTGGCTTTCCTCAAGCTGCTGGTTTCAGTGGTTGGATGCAGAGCTTGGGGCAGAGGATTTGGGTCCCCTGTTCTCCATCTGTTTAATTTGCTGCTTGGCTAACCCATGCCAAGCTCCATAGAG